GGAACGAACCCGATGCCAGTTAACAAGAACAACCGCCTTTCAGAGTTAACCACTTATTGGCTCAAACAACCTTTCTTAAAAATAATTTAATTTCTGGCAAAAAGACACACATTGAAGCAAATTACCATTGAGCCATGTGAACTCAGTAACATTGGTGACATCTTTCCCACTGGCTCAACCTTCTCGTTACTTCTTCTGGACTTGTTTGGCCTACATTCACTTAGCTTCATGGACCCTTAAACTTCTCAGCTACACTTTATAGTTCCTGGGGTCCCTTGGGTCCTTTTGAAGTGCAATAGTTAAGGACGACATTCTTTTTCTGAGGTAAACTTTTGTCTTTTAAATTGAACGATGGCTTTACAGAGGATACTTTTGTTTCAAAGTTTGAAGCAGCAGTTCAGGAGTTCCACCAGTAAGTATGGAGTCTTGGGGGTCTCTGAAGTTCTATGTTTTTCCCTTTTTATTAGGATTCGTCCATTGATCAAACAACTCATCTCTCCCCTAAGCTGCCCGGAGTGGGCCTGGCTGTCCATGAACTGGGCACCCATTCTTTCATAGGTGGAGGTTTAAGAACCAGGCCCTGGGACTCAGTTTCTATCATTCTAACCACACTTAGGTGTCACCGAAACACCAAAATGTTAATAAATCATGCTGTTGCTTTGTACCAACGTTTCCAATTCATCTTACTATACTGGCAAATCACAAATACAAAAACCCGGTAGTTAAAAAATCAACAACAACAACAACTTCCTACATTGACTAAAGAAATGTCAAGAAAGTGCAGTTATTACTTTAAATATCACACAACTCCTCAGATGGGAAAAATACAAAACACAAAACCTCTTGCCTCAATGCTTTTCATTTATAATTTCATTGTGAGGGCAGATTCCCAAAGTGATTGAAACATGAAAACTAAGATGTCACTCAGTCACAGAAAGAAGCCAATACAAAAGGCATTTGGCATTTTACTCCCAAAGAATAAATCGAAGCATCTTACTGAGTCTTACTTTTACTAAGATTGATCTGCGGTGATTTCCTCAAAACAAAAAATCTAACTCTTGATCCTTCTGAAGACAAACTGTCCATCCCTGACCGAGCAGTTACAATTAGGTGTGTCCACCTTGTGGCACAAAGGGTTAAGTGTTCAGTTGCTAACTGAAGTTTGGGTGTTCGTGTCCATCCAAGGGCACTTTGGATGAAGAATCTGATGTACTTTTGAAAACCGTGGGAGCACAGTTTTACTCTGACACACACGGGGTCACTATGAGTCGAAATATAGTCTTTACAAATCTGTGTGTGTTAACAAGAGGGTTTAGATAAGGACCAGAGCTCTGGCTGGGCCTGTGACCAGACACACAGAAACCAGCCGCACCGGGGTGGCACCACCAGGCAGAGCCCCAGGAGGCCGGGGAAAGCACTCACGGCTGCTCAGAGCAGGGGCAGGCCCGTCCTCTGGGCCTCTGCCTCAGCAGACAGCTCAGGGCCCCTGCTTGAGCTGCATCAACAATCGGAAGCCTCTCTAAGCTGGTCAGTGATAGTACCAGCAGGTGAAGCTGTTTGGATTCTCACCATGTAAACAACTTCTTGATGGCTGGTCATGCCCGGGCAGGCAGGCAGGCAGGCAGGCAGGCAGGCAGGAGGGAGATGGTTTTGGACCCTCTATCCATTCCCCAACGCGCCCCACCCCACCCCCCTCAGCTGACTATCAGACAGGTCAACCCTATCAGATGGGCCACCATTGCACAAAACATTCCTAATTTACAGTCAACTGTGGCCTTCTGAGGAGCTCAGATCTCTCTTAACTGCCCTGTTCTGATCCCTCATGATAAGATCCTGCTACAATGACAGAAAAGATCCCAAAACCAGTCTTTAGTGGCTTGATGGGGACAGATAACCTAGCTCCTGACATTCCTGAGCCAACAGCCAAGAAGAGCTCCAAAAGAACTTGTCCCCACAGGCAGAGCATCATCTGCCAGGCTTCGGAGAGCAGACCTGGCCACTGCTGGCCCCACCTCAGGGAGATGCCCTAGACCAGCAGCTACCATGAAGCCGCCTCGAAGGAGAGCAGTGCTCCACAGTGTTTTCAGTGGCTGGTTTTGAGGAAATCAGCTTCCAAGCCTTTCATCTGGATCTCCCACATTTGGGATAGCATTAACATTTACACTACCGGTGGGCCCTGCCTTACTTAGACCACGGGTCCTTGCGTGTGAGCGTGCACCAGAACCCCGTGGGAGACAGGTTAAAACACAGATTGCCAGGGCCCCATCTCCAGAGTTACTGATTCGGGAGATCTGGGAACAGGCCTGAAAGAATCTACACTTTACACAGTTCCTAAGGCTGCCTCACTGGGACACATTAAGAACCACTGAGTTAGAGCAGAGCTCAAGGAAGCTCCCAGAATTGTGGGAAATTCTCTACTGGCAGGATCCTGAGTGAGACTTGCAGCCTCCTGAGCAGGCCAGGGGCTGGGTCACTGCTTCCACAAGACAAACAATGGGGTGAACCATGAAATGACCAGCACTCCCACCCGGCTTTATCCAAGGCCCCCATCTCCCCTCTGAGCCACCAATGTTTTGGTACTACTATGGGAGTCCTAGGCACCCCATGGACTCCGGTAATGACAACTACAGGCTGGGAGGGGGCAGGAGGCCTAAAATTGTGCCCTGGGCCTCTCCCCACGTCCTCCCCTGCCCTCTTGTCAACTTCTATGACCCCGGCCAACTCCACTATCCCAGCCTTCATTCTCACCCTCCTACCAATTTGTAGAAGTCAACAGTTAACTAGTGACCGCAAACAACCACAGTAACAACAATGATACAAGAAAGCCGGACACAGTGAGTGCAGGAAATACTTGTCAAGCTCCTCTCAGAAGGATTTCATGACGGAATACTGTTGGCACTGGGCATGGAAAACCTGTCTGTCAATGACACTATATATGTACTGTTGCAAAAGGTCTCCTGCCAACCTCGAAACAAAGCGCCGACCCTACATGCAGAGCCCTCAGCCTGGGACCTACCCCTTGGGCCACCATGACAGCAGGTCTGCTTTCCCTGAAAGCCAGGCAGTCAAGCTGGCCAGCCCACACTTCTCAACCAAATAGCCTGGGACCTCCAGCCCAGTCCCTACTTCCTGTCTGTTCTGGCAGCCAAGAAAACCATCAGACATAATTCACAATAAAACATAAAAAAAAAAAAAAAAGGATGGACGAAAACAAGAAACACATGGATAAGTGGGTGATATAACACTACAACATATATATATATATATGTTACGAATCAGGCTGCGAACCTTAAGGTCTGTGGTTCGAAACTACCAGCCGCTCCGCGGGAGAAAGATGAGGCTTTCTACTCCCGTAAAGATTTACACCCTCGGAAACCCTGTACAGGGTCGCTGTGGGTCGGAACCGACTTGATGGCACTTAACAACAACAAATATATATATATATATACATACACACACACACACACACACACGAGGGCTTCAAACAGATTGTGGACAAGTGGAATTAAAAAGAGGAGTGATGAAGACAAGAAACCCATGGACAAGTGGGATAAGTGATGTTATAGTGAAGGGATTGCAATCAGTGAGATGAAATAAAATGATTAGTTGAATGTAAAAGAAAGAAAACCATTAGAAAAGTAAAGGTCTTCAGCTTCTGACTAAAGGGCTCAGCCTTCTTACTCTGCTCAGAGACATGCCGCCTTCTAAAAGTTCTGTCCTCTTCCTGGTCACCTTGTCAAGGACTCCTGATGCTCACTTGTCCTAAACGCATGTACCTAAGTTCTGGGGTTCCCAAGTGGATAAGAGATGACTATTGTTAGCTGCTGTTGAGCTGGCCCCTGACCAGTGGTGGTGCTGTGTGCAACAGGACGGGCACGCTGTGATCCTGGCCAGGGCTTCCACTGACAGCTTTGTTTGCAACTAGACCTCGAGGCCTCTCCTCCTAGTCCATCTTAGTCTGGAAGCTCCGTGGACATCTGTTCAGCATCCTAACAAAACACACGTCCCCACTGGAGATGGGTGGCACCTGGGCTGGTAACTGAACCATATCTCTTGCATGGAAGGTGAGAAGTCTACAGTGAGGTTTGTGGGGGGGCTTGTGGTTCCAGGCATGCCCAGAACCCCTGAACAGGCCACCATGCTAACTAACCACAGTGCCTTGAAGCAGTGGCCTTGGGACAGGCAGAATTGGCTCTATTGCTAGAATCCCACTAAAGGTGAATCAAGAAAGACATGCTGCTCTTTCTCTAGGCCTTAGCGCCATCTTGTTAGAAGTCTCCGAGCCATGAGAGCCAAGTGGAGGAAGAAGCAAATGAGCAGGCTGAAGCGTAAAAGAAGACGAGGCAGAGGTCCAAGTAAAGGCTAACGTGTGCACCCACGGAAGCCACAGCAGCAGGAATGCGACCCAGGTGCAAGGTGACTATGTCCAACTATCTAGAACTTATGGCTCAGTGGATCTAGAACTTCCATGAGCATTCAACGAACGCTGTGAAGAGCTGAGACCCACCATGCTGTACCAATTCAGTTCGTTTTGATCCTTTGCCCTGGACCTATGATATTCTGCACTAATTCTGTTCTGTTGTGGCTGAATGTAACGTGCACAATAAATCATCTTTTCTGTATTAGCTGAAGAATTAAAAGAAAGAAAGAAAGACACGCTGTTTTATTATTTTGTGTAGGGGGTGGGGTGGGGATGTCAGCAGGATTCTAGATTGAAAGCGCCAAGTACAGAAGGTCATAATGAGGCAACCATTCCTTTCACTGGCCTTGTTGGACCACCTGAGTGCTCCACTTCTAAAGGTTGGTGGGAACAAATTAGAACACAGCACTGATGATTAGTGAGTCAGAGGAAAACCATCGGAGGATGGATTAAAGCGGGGGTGGGAGGGTGGGGGTCTGCACTCTGGTAGCACAATGAAGTCACCTGGGAGCTTGTGAAACTACCAGCTCCAGGGCCTCCATCCCCCAAGACAGTCTTGATTTTACAGGTCTCCGGTGGGGCCTCAGCTTCAGTAGCGTTTGAAAGTTCCCAGGTGATTACAATATATCACCAAGCATGGCAAACCACTGAGTTAATGATGTCTGATTTCTTTCCTCTGCAGAGAATCAAAACTAAGTGATGTCTTAATGATTGGCTTCAAGCAATAGTGGTGTGAGCACTAACCACACGTTACATGATTTCTAGACATTGTCTTATGGAATCAAATGGATTCAGCTATGTCCTGAAAAATTTGTGTCAGCTTGGCTGGGTCAGGATTCTCAGTGGTGTGGCAGGTGTGATGAAGTAAACATAGTATCCTTCTCAGGGTGACAGACAATACCTATACTGTGCTCATAGCCCTGATCCCATGTAAGGGGGATTTCCCTACATCACCTTTTAACTTAGAAGAGATCAAGGAGATAGGACCATCAAGGGAGAAGAGCATGCGTGGAATGTGGAACCCTATCCAGAGAAACAGCAACACCAGAGATGGAGGCAGAGATGGGGACATGGAGAGAGGGAGCAGCTGAGGGCTCTAGACTCATGGAAAGAGAGGGACTGGGTGTTGGTGGCCAGGAGGCAAGTTTGCAGAATGTGCCCTTTGGTTATTTAAATGATTATATATTCCTGAGTGTTTCTGTTTACATCCTCCCTTCCCCTCCCCCCCCAAAACCCAGAGGGAACAGAAGCAAATACTGTTGAACGATGATGCATGGAGGAGATTGTAATCATTGCAATGAGATGATGAGTGTTAAACCGATGTTCTCCCATGTAAACCATCAATCAATTCACAATAAAAGCTTATAAAAGCCTGGTACAGACACCTTGTCCCCCATGTTCCCTGCCTATGCTACCCCATGCAATGCCCCAGGCTTGCAAGATTGCACAAAACCAGCTGCCGGTGTGTCAGGTGGCTTCAGTGTCACTGGAAAGGGAGCTAATTCCTGTGTGACTGCCACAGCCCTGAAACACGCCAGGTACGTCTTAGCTCCCCTGGGTGCAAGCTCCCTCTCCTGAGTTCTGAAGAATGGCCTGGTGAATCACGTGGATGTTATGGTGCTAGAGAACGGCTCCCTGGGACTGCCGACATGCCTGGGCATATGCCCACTCTGGCAGGCTGCCCTTCCCTTGCTCCCCACCCCCCCAGAACCACAGGAACCCAGCTGCTAGGAGCCTTTTTCAGAGGAAGCAAATGTGACCTCCAATGTTGGCAGGCAGAGCGGTGCAATTGCCAAAACCATAAACAGTAGAAGGGAGGAAGAGAAGGGGAAAGAGAGGGAGCTGAAGGGTGCCCCGGTTCCACATCTGAGTGGGTCCTAGCCCCAGGACCTTACCTTCGCAGGTCCTGCTGTCGGAAGAGAGCGTGTAGCCACTGTAACAGGCACAGTGGAAGCTGCCCACCTTGTTGTAGCAAATCTGATTGCAGCCCCCGTTCTGGTGAATGCATTCATTGACATCTGGATGAGATGACAGAGAGGGAACACAATGGGGTCACATCCTCAGCTACTCGGGTGGCATGCAACAACACCCATACAGCATCTCACAGCGCCCACTCCTCAGATCCCCAGACACCACTCATTTCTTGTGTGAAAGGGGAACACCCCTCAGGATTTCCTCAGGAGACAAGTGGAAGGGCTCTGGCCAGCGCACTGTGGAGTTGAGGGCAGAAGATACAAGGTGACCCCTTGGGCACCCACTGAGCTGTAGCACAGGCCCTGAGGATGAATCAGCTCTGCAGACACCCAGAAACTGATAACCACGGACCCATTCCTCCACAGGCCACTGTGTGGTGTGGGCTGATCATGACTTCCCAAAAACAAGTGCCCAGGTGAATTTCCTGTGGTAGAGTCAACTTCTCCAGAGAGGAACGAAGGTGCCTCCTCTTCAGGGCAGAGGTTGCAGTTACAGGCACGGTGAGGGGTCTGGTCCGCAGGCCAGTCTCCACCACAGCCCCTGTTCCCACCTCAAAGGGTCTAGAGCTCCTCAGGGCTTTAACCAGGCCCTAGGATAATTTTCCTGGCCTGTTTATTTATTTGTATCAAAGTTGCAGAATCTAATCTTATCAAAGATAAGATGACTTCCCTCCTCTTTTTTCACTGGTGGAAGTTAAACCAACAGAGATAGAATCAGGCTTCTTGATGGAGCCAAGGTTGCCAGGATCCTCTGTGGTGACCCTGTCCTTTCATGCTACGGCCAGCAACCAACAAACAAGGGCTGCCCAGCTGACCTTAATGCATGGGGGTGTGGCCCCGTATGCTCAGAGCAGAATGGCTCCATGATGCTTCAGAAGCACATTTGGAAGCTCCTTCTTCCAAGACACCTCTGGGTGGGTTTGAACTGCCATCCTTTTTGTCGCCACCGAGGGGAACTACTTTCCAATCATGTTTCTAGAGAGGAGCCATCCAGTTCCTCCCTCATTCTCTCATGAAGCTGGCTCTGCTTCAAGCAAGCCTCCCATGACTACACCATTCACCAGGCTTCTGGAGCTAGACGACCCTAGCATCTCCCAGGATTCACTGAAGGCACAGGTTCTCGGGAGAATGAGAGGCTAACAAGGCTTGGGAGATCTGTGGGTCTGCAGACATTCTCCCAGATGAGCAGAGGCCACTTACTGAGGACCCTGATCCCAGGAGAGCCTTGGGGCCAAAGGTCACACCTGCCTGCTCCATATCTCAGGTAGAACAGAGGCTGTACAGGCAGGCAGGGGGACAGGGCCACAAGAGGGCCTCAGCCGTCCCACAGAGAGAATTGTTATAAGTGTGCCCGCCCTAGTCTGTCTCTCTCTCTCTCTCCATCTCACATCACAATGGAAAAACAGACAGCATCTCCACCTTCAAGCAGAGAGGCAGTTTTACCTTTATCACAGTATCGGTCCCCCCAGCCAGCTTTACACAGGCAGTAGAAGTTGCCCATTAAGTCTTGGCAGGCTTTTGTTCCCTCCTTATCACAGGGGTTTGGAGTACACTGATCAGGCAAATCTGAAACAAATCAACAAGACACACACACACAAAAAAAAACAAGCAAATCATCAGAAAAACCTGTTCCCAATTAGCTTCCCAACTTAACTCGGGCTGGTGTGGTGATGGTGAGCAGGCAGGGTCGCGGCTTCATAATGAGGCCACCCAAGGGGACAGCCTGCCACTGGTAAGAAGATTAGATTGGGAAATGCCAAGGCAGGTCAGGTGCACGCCGACCATCTCCTCTGGCACTGGCCGGTCCTGTGTTGTCTCAGAGTTCCCACCTCTCTGGGGCAGGAGGGAGTGCGTAGGAACAGCTTGGCCAGGTCGCAAGGCCCAGTTCCAGGAAAATTCAGATAAGCTGGGAGGCAGAGGTCACTGCCCACTCAGGGCAGATGGAGAGCTGCTGCCTCCACAGCATTCTGAGGGAGCTGGACTAAAGCAACAGGTCTTTGGTTGGAAGGACCTCCCAAGCAGCAAGTAAATAGAATCCCACTGGCTGACCCAAGGGAATGTCCAGACAAATTCAAAACATTCCATCATTTCCAATGGTAACGTCTCAATTTTTCCCAAGCCTGGTCCGGGGCTGCCCATTCACCACTCCCAACCAGCCCATTAACCTTTCGGAACATTCTCTCCAAAGGGCTTGTCCCTGGCTCCGATACCACAAGCCTTCCTTTTCCAGGAAGGTACCTGCTTGCCACAGCTCTGTGGAGAACACAGCTCTCAGGCTGAAATCCCCACCTGCTGCTTGCACTTTAGCAGGAGGGGATCTTGTGAGGCCTGTTTGGACATTAATTTTCTGATTAACACCTTGTTGTTGTCAAGTCAGTTCTGACTCATAATGACCTGTATATAATTCCCAAGGAGTGTCTGTCTGGTGGGTTTGAACCACCGACCTTTCAGATAATTAACAAAAGATGTGCCATTTCAACCATCTCCCGAGGTATAACTTAGTAATATTAACTATATTCAAGGATCCCTGGTAGCATAATGGATTACTACCCGGGTTGCTAACTGCAAGGTCGTCAGTTTGAATCTACTTGCCGCTCCTTGGAAGAAGAATGAGGCTTTCTGTTCCTGTAAATATTTACAGCCTCTGAAACCCCATATAGGGTCTCTATGGGTCAGAACCCGCTCAACCACCACCACCATGTGGTGCAATTACTATCCTTAACATTAACGGTCACCACATTTCCCATCACCCTTAACAAATCTCTCTTTCTGTTGTTTTAGGGCAGGCTTGCTCCTCTTGGTTCCACAGCTGAAACGAGGACAGCATCTCTCTAAACAATGATCACCCACAGGGGGGCAAGCAAAGCGGGTATCCTGAGTAGATCGCCAATCATGTGCATCATTTCAAACTGTTGTTTGAAGGGTCCTATGGTTAACAGGGAGTGGCGCTGTGGGTTAATGCTCCAGACTGCAAAGTTGTTTGAACCTCAAGGTCGGGGGTTCAAGCTCAACAGTCGCTCCTAAGAAACCCTATACAGGGTTGCTATGGGTCGGAACCAACTCAACGGCACTTAACAACAATAACACGGTTAAAGAGGTTTAACCAATGGAGTGGCTTTCCAAAGAACTGTTCAGATGAGGAGGAGCGTCTCACAAACACAGCTGATGTTTCCATGACGTAGAACCCAACAGAAACAAAACCACAGAGACAGACAGGAAAGTTCCCCTGAATGTGACAATTACGTCATCCTCATAAGTTTAGAGTTCGAAAGGACTGGCGATAAAGAACTATTCTTACAAGCGGAACTCAAAGAATCTTTTCATTCCCAGTGGTCACTGTAAGAGAAGCAGCGGGCATGGAAGGGGCACAGAAGAGCCTAGAAGGATGGAACACGCTAACAAGACAGCCGCATCTCCCATCGCCACCAACATATCCAGTTTAAGTTGGAACACTGTGCGTATCTTGAAAGGAGACCTGGTGGTACTGTGGTTAAGCATTCGGCTGCTAACTGAAAAGCTGGAGGTTCGAATCCACCAGCCACTCTGCAGGAAAAAAGATCTGTAACTCTCACCCCATAAAGCTAGCCTAGGAAATCCTACGGGGCAGTGCTCTGTCCTCCAGGGTGGTTATGAGTCAGAACTGACTAGACGCCACCCATTTAGTGGTAGGCTCAATCTAGAGAAGGAGGTGTTAGTGTTTGCAGACAACCACAACGGGTCTGTATCATTCTTGGAAGGCTCCGGAGCAGCCCTGAAGAGGGAAGTGGTCCAGCCGGGTCTCAGGAAGGTGGGGTGCTATCGCAGGTGTAGGGATTACAGAGACAACCTGGCTTGCAGGTGCAGTGACTAGCTGCCAATGTTTCCCAGAGAATCTTTCAGCAAGTGAAATTATTTCTCCGGATGTCTCTAATTAGCCTACTCAGACATTTGTCCAGCCTGACCTCTCCGCTGGATGCCCACTGTTGAATTGCACGAAATGTTCCCAGCCATTGGCTGGTTTCCTCTGTCTCCTCCTTTCATTTGGTTTGCTTTTGCATTTGCTCTTTGCACTGTCTGTTCAGAGGTCCTGCTCAAGGGTGAACTCTTTTCCTGCAGACAATCAAATAGCTCTGAAGGATTCACTGCATTTCCCCTATATCTATATTCTTCCTTTCTAAGTTGTCCTGGTGTGGCACTGTCGGATAAGCACTACCACAAGGTTGGCAATTCAAACCCACCAGCTGTTTCTTGGGAACCCTATACAGGGACGCTTGCAGTCAGAACCAACTTGAGAGCACTTAACGACAACAGCTAGAATTGTATAGAAACACTGGCTCTGGAAGGTCAGGATTTGACATCCGGGTCACCTACTGTAAACTCATCTGTGGTCACTAAGTATGTCCCATGGTGTGTAGATCTTAACTGAACTGGGAAGCCGTTATAAAACTCGGTTTTGTTTTGATTGCTTTCAGTTGAGGGCACTAGGTACATATTCCCGGCAGTCCTCAAGTCTGTGGTCACTCAGGCCAACTGCCTGCCAACAATCACAGTCCTCGGTAAATGGCAAACAAGGTAAGGAAGTGGAAGAAGAGTGATTGCCCAGTGTCCTGGGCATTCAGGGGTAAGATGCTGGGCCAGCCTTGGGGAGAGCAGTGGCTAAACCCAAAGCTACATTCAACTTTCTTTAATACCACCTTACAGTCATGTCAGAATAATTGTTTTCCCGAGGAACCTACGCATCCACTTCTAACACTGGCTCCAAATTATTCTTGCTCTTTTGTACTTAGTAGGAAACCAACGCACAGAAACATTAAGTGACCTGCCCAAGTATTAAAACTTCCCATTTTTCTTTATACTTGGTAGGAAACTAAGAGTTTCTTCATATTTTTTATGAAACAATAGTTGCTTCATATTTTTTTTCTTACGTGGAAATGTCATCGTTGTTAAGTGCCTTTGAATCGGTTCCAACTCATAGGGACCCTATATAGGACGCCCAAGGTGGGATTTGAACCTCTGATCTTGTGGTTAGCAGTCCAGTGCTTATCTCATGATGCCACACCAGGGCTCCTTGTAAATGTTGTTGTTGTTAAGTTCAGTCAGTTCCGATGCATAGAGACCCTGTATCACTGTATAGAGTTTCTGAGGAGCAGCTTAAATAACATAGTCAGTTAGTAGCTTTTCAAAGGGACCATCTGATTCCAGGGGTAACTGACGGTGGATGGATTCGCCAGTTTCTCCTTTCTCTGTCTGCCCACTACCCATGCTCAAGTATATGTTTCAAGGCATCTGTTGAGTCCATATTTTAAAGAAAACACTGTCATTTGGAACATCCCCAAGTCAAGACAACGGGGTCTTTTAGAATAACATCTGTCTTGGCAGCAGGCTCCCGATCATCTTTCGGAGGAAACACAGTGAAGGTTTGTTGGGTGGGTACTCACCACTAATTCATGACTTCATTTTTTAAATGACTGATGTTTCAAATCTAATGCCAAGTTTGGAAAACACAGTATTTCCACTACAATGTTTACTATCAGCAAATGAATTGTTGGTAGAGCGCGCGCACACGCACACACACACACTCTCACTCTCTCACTCACTCACTCACTCACTCACTCCCAGCTGGGTTTGGGTAGTACCTAGGACAAGGCACAAGGAAGGTGAGTGAGTGAATTACTGAAATTCGAAATGTAACCTCTTCTCATTGGCTCAGGCTCAACTTCCGGACTCCACTGCACTTTCCATACCCTCCATCGCAATTCCACAGAGTGGGCATCCAGCTCATCAGAAAACTCCATCCCCACCAGCCTCCATCCTTTGGACAGAAGGGTCATGTCTGTGAAGCGCAGGCTGCTAAGAGTATCTGCATCCTTGTCTTGCGCCTGAGTAGCTGAACTGGAGTCTCCTCTCGGCTTTTCTTTTTGTGACCTCTCATTGGTGCTTGTTTTGTGCAAGCTACAGCCAACAAAACACTTGCAAGTGCAGAACCAACACAGTGTCTTGATGTATTTTTAAGACACTTGCATAGTTGTGTTTTGGAAGGTGACTCTAAAAGCCGGTTATCCTGAAGTCAGTAGGAACTGGGTCTAGCGATCCAATCAGAGTCATAGGGAAGTGAAGAAATGGGAGGAGGGAATTATACACCTGACAAAAGCTACCAGGCGAACCCACAGGTAGAATCACTTGATTCCTTCCTGAAACACAGTTCCCTTGGCTTCTCTTTTCATGTTGCCTGACCTCTGGCGTCGTCTGTGTCCACAGGGCACTTTGGGAGCATGAAGTACTTGGTTACAGAAGGGCCTGGAAGGGTAAAGTCGCATCCATAAGCAGCATTAGAGAAATGAAGCGAAAGGACTCCTGATCTCAGGATGAAGACACAGAGGAGGGATTCTTTGTTATTGTTGTTAGGTGCCATTGAGTCAGTACCGACTCACAGCGACCCTATGAGTCTTTGTTGTTGTTAAGTGCCGTCGAGTTGATTCTGATCCATAGTGACCCTGTATAGGGTTTCCAAGGAGCAGCTGGTGAGTTTGAACCACTGACCTTGCAGTTCAAATGGCTCTGCAGTCTGGTGCATTAGCCCACAGCACCACACCAGGGCTCCTATGAGTCGTTGTTGTTGTTGTTGTCAAGTGCCGTCGAGTCGATTCTGACACATAGTGACCCTGTATAGGGTTTCCAAGGAGCAGCTAGTGAACTTGAACCGCTGACCTTGCAGTTCAAACGGCTTTGCAGTTTGGCACATTAACCCACAGCACCACACCAGGACTCAGTCTACCCTTTTATCAAACAGACAGGAAAGCTGAAAATCAGGAGAGCAGTGACTTTCCCCAAGATTCCCCAACCCACTGGTACCAGAAGCAGCAGTATAGGAACACAGGTTATTACCATGACCACCCGCCCCCACAACCCCCTCTCAGCAAAAATGACCCCAGCCGAACCCCGCTGTGCACTGGAAGTTTCAAAGATGGTGTGTATTTTCATGGGTAACATTTGGTTAAAGGTTTCACATTGTTTAGTAAGTTTGCTCATAAAGAACTGCTGAGCTTCATCATGATGTCGTCTTGAGTGTCTACACTCTGTCTCTTGAAAAATCTTGGAGGCAGGCTGAAGGCCAGACACAAACTTCTACCAGGGCGGAGAGTAGATTTGCAAAGCAACAAAATTTTCATGAACTTTACAGCATCAACCCCTAAAAGGGCTCACCCAGCACTCCTTTCATTTCCGTACTCCCCTTTGTGTGGGCTCAAATGAAGGTGGAAGGAACATATTATATATCTAGAACATATCAAGAAGCCTGTCTGACACCCAGCAGGTGCTCAGCAAAAGTGATGGGGAAAAAGTTGACACATTCAGGACATAGAACCTTCGCAAGGCCCCATGGGCCACACAGTGAATGAGCCATCTTCTTGGCACACCCCCGAGTGGCCTCCCTCTTTGGCAGAAAGATTTCTGAGTTGAATGGCTGATCTGTGCCCAGACATGGGGCCTCCAGGCTGAGAGCTGTTTAGGAGATAAAGGATTTATCTTGGCCTCAGCAAGAGGCTGTGTTCAAGGAAAGGGAGGAAGGAACTGGTGTGTTGCCTCTGGAATGGAATGTGAACCATTTGCTGACTGCCAAAAGAATGCCTTTCTTGGTTATTTTTGCACCCACCCCCACCCCCAAATCTCAGGGTAATGACAAGTTATAACTGGGACAACATATTATAATACAGAGCCCTTTGTTGGTGCTGACCAAGGTGAAGAAGGCAAAGATGTTGCCCCCCATGATAGACCTGGGGAGGGGGGGGAGATTTAGCAACCACTGCACTCACTCACTGCAGGCGTGAAAGCTGCTCTGTCAAAGTAAACCCGAGAAAGCAAAGGAACTGAGAAAATCCACGCCCGAAAAACCAACGTCAAACACTTCCCTTCATATCAAATACAGATGCGACAAGAAGAATGTTTTGTTTTGCTTCGAAATGTTAAAAATGTTCATGTGAAATGAAGGAAACAAAAACTGAGGTGATTGGCTCATAGATATTAAGAAAAGAGAAAAATTGTTGAGGTAGACTACGATATACTATGAAGAAAGGCTCAGAGATCTACTTCCAAACATCAGCCAAGAAAATTCCTGTGGATCCCAACAATCCAATCTGCCGCCCATCCCAGTGATGGCACAGGCCTGGCTCCCCGGTGCTTTGTTGTTGTTGTTGTTGTTAGGTGTCATCGAGTTGGTACTGACCCATAGCGACCCTGTGAACAGCAGAACGAAACACTGCCCAGTCCTGGGCCAACCTCACAATTGTTGCTATGCTTGTGTCCATCTTGTTGGGGGTCTTCCTCTTTTTCTCTGACCCTCCACCTTACCAAACATGTTATCCTTCTCCAGTGACTGGTCCCTCCTGACAATATGTCCAAAGTATGAGAGATGAAGTTTGGCCATCTTGGCCTCTAAGGAGCACTCTGGCTGCACTTCTTCCAACACAGATCTGTTGGTTCTTTTGGCAGCCCATGTAGCTTTTATTACTCTCCTCCAACACTGTACCTCAAAATATCAATTCTTCTACGATCTTCCTTATTCACTGTCCAGCTTTCGCATGCATATGAGGTTATTGAAAATACCATGGCTTGGGTCAGGCGCACCTTAGTCCTCAAGCTGACATCTTTGCTCTTCAACACTTTAAAGCTGTTGACAATTTCAATCTTTTCTCCTTTGATATGAATGTTGTTTATTGGTCCACTGGTGAGGATTTTTGTTTTCTTTACATTGAGATGCGATCTATACTGCAGTAAGTATTTAAGTTTTCTTCACTTTCAGCAAGCAAGGTTGTATCATCTGCATATTGCATATCTCCTGTGCTTGGGGCTGTCTTAAGGAGCTAACAAGAATGTATTCAGTACCACTGTCCCTGTCAGGGTTTGGTTCGTCCAGGACTCCACAGTCAGTTCTTGACGTTGTTGCCTCTATGAATGGCTAGGTGGGCCTTTGGGCTCAGGTGGAGGCCAGTGCTTGAGCTACATTTGGACTCATTAGTTGCTAAATCCATGTGGGAGTCATGTCTGACTTCCTCTGGCTTCACAAGAGGGAAAGAGAATCAGAATCAAAATCTGCTCAAGGCCGATTCCTATGAAGCAGAGGTCAGACATGTTTCCACCCCACAACCTTCTTTACCCTAGTCTGACACCAACCATCCCTCCCACCACACTCTGCTTCACATCAGGGTTCGATAATCCACTGCAATAGCCACATAGAACTCAAAAATACTCACAATTGTGGGATTTATTAGGGGAAATGAACAGGGTACAATTCAGGATCAAAACCAACTGAGGACACAGCAGTTCTCCAGTCAGGGACGCCTCCTGTCTGCCGTACTACAGGCAAATCTCACTCTTGTCCTGGGCCTCTCAGTCCTGTGGCCCCTTGGCCTCTGCCCAACTTTCCCCAGTCTATAGGCCTAGAGCTGGGACCTCTTCTATCTCTGCTGTTGTCTATTATTGTCTCGTGCTCCACTCATGCTTTTCCTTCTTGATGGTTCTCTGTCTGTCTCTACTTCTGAGGTGGCTCCTTATAAACCTAACTGGAGAGCAAACCAACCAATCACAGCTTTAGAGTCCTGTCTACCTTATTTGCATGGTCACAGCCAATCACTTGATGAGAATTAAGATAACTCCCAATAGGAAAACCACATCAAGTAAATTCAAGGTACCACATTAGAAAATTAAGAAATGATCTCTTTAAGACCACTACCTTGATGTTCACAATAACAAAGAAGCAAAGACCTGCAGCTGCCCCAGGAGCCCCACAGATGACTACTTTATAACGAATGAAAAACATATAAATCTGCTTTAAAATATTATTCCTGTGATCCATTTAGCTCAGGTTTGTTGACGGTGCCAATCCAAGACAATAGCTGTTGTTTTGTGCCATGGAGTTAGTTTCAACTCAGAGAGACCCTGTACAGGGTTTCCGAGGCTGTAAATCTTTATGGAAGCAGAAAGCCTCACCTTTCTCCCACGGAACAGCTAGTAGTTTCGAACTGCTGACCTTGCAGTTCACAGCCCAATTCGTAAGGCTATAAAGGCACAAAGTGGCTGGCTTACATGTTTTCAAGGGGAATTTTAGTTTCAGGGGGAAGGCAGAATCCCACTGAATAGTTTTCAATCTTGTCTAGATGGGTCTGATTAAAAGAGATGGGGAAAACAAGTTGCTTGCCCAGGAACCATCAAGGCACTTTAACCACAAAGGGAACAAAAACACTAGGGAGATATGTAATCCTTAGAATAACCAACCATCAAAGTCCCAAAGGGTTAATGAGTAAAGAAGGAAGAACAGAACCAGGAAACAGAGAGGAAGGGGAATAATGGCGCGTTAACAGTGTGGGAACTGCAACCAATGACACAAAGCAAATGTGCATGACTGGTTTACTGGAAAACTGATCTGCTCCATCCACTGTCACCCAAGTCACAATAGAGAGTTCAATTTAGAAAATAAGACGAAAGGAGACAGACTTACCTTGAACACACATACGAAACTTTGGGTTTTTGGTATATGGAGATCCATATTTATTAATGCACTCTGAAAGAGAGAAATGGACGGTGTCATCATTTATCATTTGTCAACAGACAGAACAGACGTTAGAACTAGCGTTTCAGAATGTTCTGTCCAATTTGACTATCCACACGGGATACTATAGAGTCCTCTGGGTTTAATCATTTAACTGTTCTGAATACAGAAGGTTTTCTCAACGACAAACAGGAAAATACCTCAACCAAAACGGAAAAACTACCATATATATGTTACCGCATAGCATCTACAGCTTCTCAAAAGGATTCCTCCTCTTAGTGCACAGAAAAATCACTGAGGCTATTCATTGAGTTTTGTCACTGTTTCCTGGAAACTGTGCCCTTAATTCAAAAGCGAATCTGTTCACTGATGGTACATGGAGGAGATTATAATCATTGTAATGAAACAAGGTATATGATTTGTTGGATGTAAAACATGATGTGCCCTGTAAACTTTCACTCAATCCACAATAAAAAAAACTTTTTAAAAACAAGCGAATCTGTTTTGGAGAACGTTTCCTCCAAGTTATCTGGTATCCTGGAAACAGTCTGACAATGGAGTTCTACGTGGATTCCTGGGAAAGGACGGCTTGGGGTTTTGAACATGTGCACTCAGGGATGATGTACAATTTGAAATTGTATAGACTAGATGGTGAGCCACTTCATGTGTGGACTTTAGTAGGTTACTGCGGCATATCCACACACAGGCCAACATTAGTTACATGCAACAGAACAACCCCCGCCTTTTGCCATCAAGACCCCCTCCCCTATATATCCAAAGAAACTGGGCCACATGGAGGGTAGACACAGTAACCAACACCTCTCCCCTACATGAAGCAGGTATCTCTTGCACTTTTCAGAGCCAGTTACTGATACATTTTGCTTGTTGCCAGAGTTTGGACTCAGACAAGGTACCTCTGAGAGGGCCCTAAGGCAACAGAAAATTTGTCAAAATGCACTTTACAAACTTAAAAACAAAAAACGTCAGAAACATATTGCTATTATTATATATATAAGATGCATCCAAAGAACTTTTAAGTTAATTGTTGTTGTTGTTAAGTGACATTCAGTCAGTTCTAACTCAGAACAACCCTGTACAGGGTTGCCAAGAAAAGACTGGTGAGTGTGAACCCCTGACCTTGAGGTTCAACTCAACCTTGTGGTCCAGCGCATTACCCCACAGCGCCACCAGTGGTTCCTAGTACAGCCCAGAGTCCTAGGGTGGTTCTTCAGGATAAGCACTCGATCACAAGGTCAGTTTGAACCTCAAGGTAGGTGGTTCCAATTCACCAGCCGCTCCTCGGAAACCCTATACAGGATTTGCTATGAATAGGAACCGACTTGCCGGCACTTCACAGCAAACAAGCGTAGCCCAGGCCCCTCTTTCAGTCAACAAGGTCAAAACTATTTTCATGATAACACAACAAACCAGGTGCCATTGAGTAGACCCATGTGCGTCAGACCAGAACTGCGCTGCGCAGGGTTTCCAGTAGCTGATTTTCCTGAAATAGATAGTCAGGCTTTTTCCCAAGATGCACCTGGGTGGGCTAGACTCTCTAGAACATTAACCCTTTGAAACAGCCAGGAACTCGTTTTCTCTCTTGTTCTCTAACCAGCAAGGAGCAGTCTGTTCCAGAGACTTGTTGTTAAGTGTGGACTCACAGCAACCCTGTATAGGGTTTCTGAGGAGCAGCTGGTGGGTTTGAACCGTCGACCTTGTGGTTCAAACTGACATTGAGGTCCAGTAGTTTATCTGACAGCCCCACACAAGAACTCCAATCCAAAGACTACATGGCACCAAATGGCGTCAGTGCTTTGATGGTTACTAGAATGTTTGCTTGTGCATTCTTTTGCACAAGATTTTTCAAATTAAGTGAAAAATAAAAAGACTTTTTTAATAAAGCAAACACAATTAACACAATCTCCATTAACAAAGGTTGGATTGATTGATGTTTGCCATAGTACAAATGAAAACTAGGAACATTAAAAAATCAGCACTTCAGAAATCCTATGGGGCTCACGATGAGCTGGAAAGGACTCGACGACACTTAACAACAACACATCAACTAACATCCTTTGGGGTCCTCGATCATTTCAAAAGTGCGAAAAGTCCTAAGAAGTTTGAGAAGCAGCGGGCTAAATCAATCACATTGATAAACAATAAATTAGGTTTGAAATCAGAGCAGACAAGAGACTTACACATGCAGGCTGGTTAAGCATTGTGATCTTTAAAACCTGTGTCTGATTTGTACCTTATGGTTTTAAAGATCACAGGTTTTAAAGATCACAATGCTTAACTAGCCCCACAGTCACTACAATTAAAGCTATCGTTCACCCAGGAATAATTTGGTAACGGAATTTTGACCAATTCATGAAACACATACTTTAAATCAACTGAACAAAGTAGTCATTTGAACTTACCTAAGTATTTTGGGTAAAAATAGTTCTGTGGAAAGAGGGAAAAAAAAAAAATAAGGTCAACAGTTTACTGGTACAACATACAGCTTCTTAAACAACATGATTAGTAGTTTGTTCATTAAAGCTCGGTTGTTCTTCCTGAGTACAGAAACCGTGACTATCAAAGAAGTGGGACACGCCAAAGATGGGAGAATCTCTCCAAGGCTGAACTGCTGAGAAGCAAAGTCAAACCGCTCAGAAATCCATTTCTGCTGCGTAGATCACGGCGCTGAGGGGAGGACGTCAGAGACAGAAACAAAGGCAGGCAGCTGTGTTGCTGCAGAATGATTTTTTTTTTTTTTTTTTTCACAAAGCTGACAATGTAACTGTGAGACTAGATTTTCTGTAAGAAGCAAAAAGTAATGTCATTTATAGCCCCTTAGAAAGTGCGGATCAGTATGCTTGCTTGGAATCCGTCCCAACTGGAAATGACGTTCTGGTTACTGAAGACTTAAGAGCTCCCGTAGAAATGGGAACATCCGTATTGCTGGGTGTCTATTAGCATTGGTTGGACTTACTGTATTTGGAAAACAAATACTGGATGAACCACAGAGATTACAGACGAGGGGTCTTTTACCCAGGAATGCAAATTTTAAGAGGTTCATCCATCTTATAAGGAGCTCTGGGAGCGTAGTGGTTACGAGTGGGGCTGTTAACGTCAAGGTCAGCAGTTCAAAACTACCAGCCATCCTGGGGGAAAAAGATGAGGCTTTCTGCTCCTGTAAAAACTTACAGCCTCGGAAACCACGTGCAGCGTGGACGTCTTCCTTCAGAACCATGAGCTCCTGATCACATGCAACCTCTTGAAATGGGTGAACAATGGCCATTTCTTTTTGGTTCAGTTACTGTATAGAATGGAGTAAACGTCTCCATGGTGCTGCCACGAGTCTGAATCAGCTCAGAGCACTCAACAGGGGGAACAGCAAGGTTAAAGGAGTCCCCTCCAGGTCCGTTGTTCCGTGTGTCAGGCATGAAATAAAGGATGGGCACGTAGGGATAACCTCAAGGTCGGCGGTTCAAACCCACCAGCTGCTCCTCAGAAACCCTAAACAGGGTCGCTAGGGGTCAGAACTGGCTCAGTAGCATTTACCAACTACAACAGCATATATATCACAGTATATAATTTCATTTATATGTATTAGAAAATGCTAGTTTATATATAATTTATATATAATGACAGAAAATAGACCCCATGATTACGTAAGCATAGAGAAACTACAAAGTGACAGGAAGAAACTTTAGGGGATGATTGATCTTACTGAAGACTAAAGTGTGTCTCTCCAAAATGTGTATCAAAGTAAAAGCAGCTCCACCAATGAGCGTGATCCAGTTTGGAAATAAGGGGTTCGTTTGTCAATTCGCTCAGCCGTAAGCAGGGTGAGCACTAAACCTAATCACTTCTGAGTCACAAAAAGAACAAAATGGACCCAAACAGACACACAGGGGACACACATGAACACACACACACATGGGACACACATGAAGACACACACACAGGGGACACACATGAAGACACACAAGGGGACACACATGAAGACACACACAGGGGGACACACATGAAGACACACACAGGGGACACACATGAAGACACACACAGGGGGACACACACGAAGATGCACACACACACAGAGATATACTTTTAAGTCGCAGGAACCCCAGGAATTGATGGCAGTTATACTAGAAGCTGAAATAAAGGAAAAGAAAGTGACCAGAGCCACAGGCCCCTCAAGTCTAAGCTTCAACTGCATGGAAGGACTCTCTCTCTCTCAGTCCAGGAGCCCTAGCTGGAGTCTTGGTGTGGTGCTGTGAGCTAATGCACCAGACTGCGAGGTTGTTCATCTGAACTGCGAGGTTGGCTGTTCAGTTCATCTGAACTGCGAGGTTGGCTGTTCAGGCTCGCCAGTCACTCCTTGGAAACCCTATACAGGGTCGTTATGGGTCGGAACCGACTCAACGGTACTTGACAACAACACTCAAAAGATCAGCAGTTTTGACCCACCAGCCACCCCATGGGAGAAGGATGCCACAAACCTGTTTCTGTAAATGCTGTTAAGTGTGGTGAGTTGGTTCCAAATCAGAGAGACCAGATACAGGGTTTCCGAGGAGTCCTTGCTGGTTTTCAACCGCTGGCTTTGCAGTTTTTACCGCCAAGCAGTCCAGTGCTAACCCTGAGGCCCCATTCCAGCCTTGAAACCTATGGAAGTTCAGTTCTGTCCCTTAGGGCTGCCCTGAGCCGGGTACTGAGGTAACTTTCTATCAGCTTTTCATTCCAACCCTGGCTATATGCACACCTTTTAATCTGCTGCTGGTAACTGTTACTTTTATTATGAGACTTTGAAAGGGTCATATACTAGCACATGTTGTTGTTAAGTGCCATCAAGTCAATTCCCACCCATAGCAATCCTGTAAAGGGTTTCTGAGGAGCAGCTGGTGAGCTTAAAGTACCCACCTTGCAGTTCAAACGCTTTTTACAGTCTGGTGCTAGATTAACCCAGAGCGCATATAAAGGCATATATAGCATCTGGTTTGAACCGCAAGGTCGGCAGTTCAAACTCACTAGTTGTTCCTCACCCTGTACAGGGTCACTATGAGTCAGAACTAACTCAAAGACACTTAACAACAACAACATTCTAGGTAGCACTCAGACGTGGTAGTACGTGCTTGTGGACAATAATCAAAGTGCCTTACAAATGTCTGTGATGTGTTATCAGTTCCTGTGTTTCCCTCCTTTTCAAAATCACTGCTTTACAGTCATTTCGATTTTACAGAAGATCTACAGTACTGCCTGTTGTTGTTAATGGAAAGAAACTGGAAGGAGAATGCTTTTAGGAAAACAGGTGGAATGCGAAAGTAGCTTTCAGAGTTTGTTTTGTGGTCAGTTGTTAAAGCCCCAGACCTTGGAGATTGGCTTCACCAAGCTCCTTCCACGGGAACTACATTCAGCGTATCGCTTATGAACAGTATCTGTGAACATTGTATGTTAACATCATTGTAAGTTTTATGTATGTTATTTTACATTTATGATCTGGTAGTTTTGTGGGTCTATGAATGCTCAAAAATGTCCCCCATATAAATTAATGTTAACTGTTTCTTCACTTTACACCATTTCAGCTTAAGAAAAGTTTTACTGAAACTCTTTCAGATAGCTGGGGGAACCTGTACTTGGGCAAGGATTGTGCAAACCAAAAGTAGCATCCGTGGTAGAAACATACACAGCTATAGCTCTGTGCCAAGCTCCAGGAGGTTAGGGAAGGCTGGATCCTGAGTGTGAAGCCAAGCCTTCCAGAGAACTTTCTTGTGTAAACAAGAATGTTGAACTTCAACAACGAAACCAGCAGGATTTGTTGTGAGGATTCTGATTCTATTTGCATTTTGTAAATACATTTGCCTTTGTAAATATAGAAGGGCTAGTGAGGGAGGCTCAGCTGGGAAAGGAGTTTGAGGGGTGGGGGCTTCATCTGACTTGGAGTTTCAAATGAGATCTGCTGATTTGTTCTGAAGTGTTTGAATAAGCCAGTCTCCTCAGCCCTGTCAATAATAAAGTATCAAACAACTGAAACACACACAAACACTAGAAGACAAGCTAGATGACTGGGACCTCCTAAACATTTGACATTTATGTGCATCAAAAGGTTTCACCAGCAAAGTAAAATGAGAACCCACACACTGGGAATAAAAAAAATTAGCAATGACACATCAGATAAGAGATTACTGTCTGAAGTTATAAAGCACTTTTACACTTCAATAACAAGACAAAAAAATTCAATTAAAAAAGGGCCAGAGGACATGAACAGACACCTCACCAAAGAAGACGACATTCAGGCAGTCAACAAACATCTAAATAAAGGCTCATGATCACTAGCTGTTAGAGAAATGTAAATCAGAACACTCATCACCTTACTCCAACATTAATACCAACATCCCAGAAAACAAATGCTGGAGAGGGTGTGGGGAATAGGGGACCCTCACATCAGCACTGGCTGCGAACTGCAAGGTCAGCAGTTTACAGCGTCCCTATGAGTCACAACTGACTCCACAGCATTCGTCAACAACAGAGTGTAGACACATGGTAATCAAAAAGGAAAGGCAATTTAAAAGAAAAGGAAGGAAAAAAGAGGAAGGGAAAGATGTATATTTGTTTTCTAGCTAGGACAAGCCATTGGGAACTTTCCCATAAATTTAAGGGGAGAAAAATTAAGGGAAAGGAGAAAGAAAGAAAAAGATTGGGAAATGGACAGTAATGATCATTGTGCATTGTGGGGAATGTGCTTGGTATGGCTGGATTGAACAGTCAAAAATGGCTGAAACCACAAAATATATATTGCTACAATTAAAAAAAAAAAAAAGAGGCCATTGGAGCAAAGGGTCAGCCTGACCGGGGTGAGGTAGCATTGTGTGAAGGGTCAGCACAGAGACCGTGGGCCAGGGCACCAGGTTTGAAATCTCAACTCCACATTCAACTACATGACCTTCAGCCAACATCTGTTCCAGCTTCCTCTTCTATAAACCAGTGGTTAAAACAATAACATGGCCTTAGCCCAGTATTGATTACCCAATAAGCAAGGTGAGCATGGACTTACTTAGTAATTGGTTGTGAACAATTTCATATGTTTTTACTACATGAAGATTCTGCTTCTAGGTCTGGCTGGCATCATCTCTGAATCCACGGCATCTCCCTACAGAATCAAAGCCGCTTCCCAAATTTATAATCTCTGACAGGGACAGAGTAACTGCTAAGCAAGATAAGCTTATTGTTGTTAAGTGCCATCAAGTCGGTTGCAACTCATAGCAACCCCGTATACGGTTTCCAAGTAGTGGCTGATGACTTTGAACCACAGGTTCAATCAAACCAACCTCACAGGCCAATGCTTTATCCCAGGATTAGATGTGATGAAACCCATGTGATAGCTCAAAATACCAACTGAGAGGGAAGGAGTCTTCATTCCCTCTGTATACAAGGTAGATAGGGACGGGCAACTTAGACAATGG